TCTGAAGAACGTGTCAGGAGGAATAAGTGCAAACCTGACCGTGTTCGGAGAACCTCTCCTAGGTGGAAATTTGCAAATAGGGCTACTGTAGTATGTAATGAGAAGCTGCAGGGCTTTCAATTATCCCACATAGTCTGTCTCTTTGCAACTTGACTGACAGCTAATTATGCTGGTGCCATTTTTTTGGCAGTGGAATTTAATCTCCCAGATGGAAAGCAAATCAATCTGCCCATCGCTGCAGCTGAGGCATAGTCTGGCTCAACCTTAATTTATTCTCCTAAGCCTAAGAAGGCCAGTCATTTCAAGGTACAAAAATATCAAATTTCTTCTGTTAACCAGGCCGGTGAAAAAGTGTGGAAGAGTTGGGTTTTCTCAGGCGACGCTGTGAAACGTCGTCGCTCCTTCCTTCGTATTAGGAAGCAGCAGCAGCGTCTCCCCTTGATTCCTGTTCGTGGAATCTGACAGGGAAGAAGCATTTATGAGCACGTTGCTAGTGATAATGGTTAAACATGAGTTGTGGAGGCATTAAGTAGGATTCGATGGAGGAACGGACTAAATCTCTGCAGAACTCAGCACAAAAAGGAATCGGTGGCAATTTTCAAGCGCTTTAGCCAGCGTGCGATAGTCCGGTTCCCGTTGGGTTTCACGCCGGGGATATAAATGCAATCCTTCTACTTACCTGCACTCTTCAGGCCTATCAATTATGCTGCTCCCTCCGAGTTGCTGTTACAACTCGAGGTATTACCGTCCTCTGCAAAACCATCACAGAGCAGAGTATGTGACTGGTTAGCACAGGCTACAGACCTGACCTTCAGGCAGCCGGGCACCTGCAGCTCCTGTCAGTGCTGGGTTTCAGGCTAGAAAACCCAATTTTTAGCTAGGATCAAGGGAAAGTGAGCTCACAAAAACTTGGCGCTAATGAATGCTGGGAAAGCAGAACCTTATTTTTCTGCGAACTTCTGCCTGTTTGGCTAACGCCGCTTCAGCCTGCAGATGGTACCTGTGGTTTGTCTGCATGTTGTTATTTTCCCTTTTGGGATATTTTCTCTGAATTCTTAATCTCTTGTAGTATTGGATGTATGTACTCTGTCTTTTTTGAGAGATCACAAATATAAAGGTTTCCAATTCCCCTTTTTACTGAAAAAAAGCATTTCTAAAAGCACTTTGCTCACTCCTAATGAGTCTGATTCTGGTCTTTCTCACACTTGGATGAAACCACACCTGTTTTACTGACTCCTCCTTGGTGCATTTGGAGGCTGAAAGGTTACAAGCTATGACAACCTATCTAGCTATTAATATCCTCAGTTTGATATTTCCATACCATGCTTATGTTGATACTGCTCCTGATAAACCTTTGAATGACATTTTGTAATTACGATGAAATCTCGTACATGGGAGCACTTGTTCATGACAAATCTCTGGAGAACAGATGTTCTGACGCTGTCCGTCAGGGTGTTCCTTGCTAGGTTGTATTTCTACAATGTGCTAGTTAAAAGGGAGCCTACACGATGCTCTGTGGATTTGTGGCAGGGAGCTCATTCAAGAGATGATTAGAGTGCTAATTAGTCTGTGGGAAGAGTCATCAATAACTGGGGAAAAACAGCACAGGAGCAACTGCTTGTGGGCTTGGAAAGTCACAACCCGGCGTGTCTTGTAGCCACTGTTTGAGGTGATAACACAACTTAAAGATGTTAGCTGGAGGCATTCCTCTGAATGTGCACATGTAGCAAATGGAAATCCAACGTAATCTGGAAACAACCACCTAAACGGAGCATTACGAGGAAACCCCCCGCTCTCGCCAGATGTCAGACCTCTTTGTAAAGCGCTGCAAGATACCGGCGTGTCCTAACGACCAGAAAACGAGACCTCCTCCAGTGGGGATTTCTTCACCCAGGGGCTGAGTTTCAGAGCACGGTGTAAGGATGGACCCCGTGGGCAGGACAGGGCTGCGGGGCAGGTGGGGAGGGCCCAGGACTCTTTTGGTAGAAGCGATGGCTCGGGCTCGGTGCGACCAGCGCTGTCTGTAAGGCGACGGGGAAATCTGCTGGTGGGAGGACCCGTATTCAGTACACAGCTGTGTTAGCCGTCAGTTTTCAAACGGTTTAAAGAGTTACTAATTTAAAATTAGAATTTTTTTTAATAATCCATAATTTGTCTTAAATAGAACAATTATTTTTTTCTTCATTACTCTAGAGGTTTAAATGCTGCTGATGAAATGTACAGTGGAAAATCTAAGAAAGAGCAGGCACCAGCTCAACAAATTGTACAGGCTGACAACTTAGAATGAGGAAAGCTCTGGGAGGATGACAGGTTGTAAAACCAGAGGGAACTTCTAAAGTTACATAACGCTGCGTGCGCCAAGGATGGTATTACCATGGATTTTCTACCGTGGAAGAAGACAGTTGACTAGAAACAGAAATGTAAGAGAGAATGGGATTTGAAACTGAAGTGGAAACTACTATTGGCCACAAAATGCTATTACCCTTTGAAAGTAAACAGTTGAGGAGTGAATGTCTATTTTAACTGCTGTTTTCTGATAAGGTCTCTAATGAATTTACCAATAAGCAAACAAGCTCTAAAGGACCTTTCACTGACATGTTTTCTGTGTGTGGCCTTCCCAAATCGTGATCGATTTTTTTAAAATTATTTTTATTTTTTGCAAATGGATCTTGCACATTTAGCTACAACGAGCAAATTTTCGGGGAGATTTCCAAAGGGATCTTGTGCAGTGCACAACTTACTTAGCAGGAATTTCTTCTCCTGTTTTTCTTGTTAATGCGTTTAACTCAGTACGTTACTTTTCAGGTTCCTGAATAGGTGCCATATTCTCCTCAGGCTGCCCTGTGTGGCCAAGTTCAAGGTTTTTCTGGGATCTCTGGCTTTCTCAGCAGAGTCTGCTGGATCTGAGGACCTCGGAGCAGGATTCTTCGGGCTGCGGGAGATCTGGGTGAGCACTAGTCGAGAGGCAGGGCCGGGTCGGAGACCTCCTCCGGGCAGACTCACCCGGCTACGAGCGGATTGGGGAGCAGCCACGTAGGGGTTCAAGGACTCCCATGGAACAGGGCTGGGGCAAAGCAACAGGGTCACGGTGCTCCCTCGGGGTTTACAGGCTTGTGAATGAGTGCTGAGGAGGAAGAGGATGCTCTGGTGCTTGCAGAGAGGAAGAATGCGGTGATGTCCCTGTGAGGGCTGCAGGTGACTTTACAGGGGCCATAGTTACGAGTTTGAATAAGAGGTTTTGTGAACGCTGTCGGGCAGTGGCCCTGCCTGCCATGGGCAGGAGAGCATCTTTCTCATTAAAGGCGACACAAAAAGTCCTTGATAACTGGTTTTGGTCCCACTGGGACGTGGTGCTGAGGGCTCAGAGTCTCACCAGGCGGGTATTGTTCATGGCCCTTTTATTTTGGGATTTTTTTGCAGAACGGCCTGAATCCGAATAACCCATCGCAGGCAATCCCACGGGAATCATCTGAGAGACTGACGGAGCTGATGGCTAGACAGGCAGAGGGCACGTGAGGCCAGAAGTAGCAGGTCGGTGTGATTTGAAGGACAATTCAGTTTGCTTCGGGATTTTCTTAGTCGCAAGGCAAAAGTTGTCCCCCCCACCGCCCCCCCCGTGTGGTGTAATAGTGTAAGGGGCAGATTTGTTAAATACTTTTAACTACACTGAAAATACTTGTGCACAACCACGTTTGTTTTTTCTTCTATTACCGACGTTAAAATTTTGAGACTTTACAAAAGTGAGACTTTACCCAGTAAACTCTACAGTGAAGAGACCAAGAAGCTGTAACCTGTGAGCTCAGTTTGTGACACGTTCCATATTAAAAATCTCTGCTGAAATAATCAGGGCCTTTATTGCAGAGAGTGTTTCCTCAGATAACTGCTCATGCCTACTTTTTTCTACTTTTCAGTCCTTTTGGTGACACCTAGTGACATTTGTGGAAAGTGCAGTTCTAAGGATCGATGCCAGGGCAGCGACGCGCGTTTCACAACTAAGTGCCGCAGTACTGCATCCGATTTCATTTGTTGCCCCTTGAATGCTCTTTGCAGAACAATACCAGATGCATTTTGGCCATTTAAAAACTTTAAATTTGACCCCATATTATGGCCAAAGACCTTATACATTAGGGGCACAAAAATTAATTCATTCTTTGCTCCTTTGAACTTTGGGGATGTGTTATTCTTAACACCGTTATTTTAGACTTTTTGTCTCCTGTTGTTGCTGCTGCTGTTCCTCTACAGCAGCGCACTTTGAAGCTGCAAGTAGGCTGGACTTCTACACAAAAACCCCAAACTCTTGCAGGAGCTTAAGCTACACCTTTTTAATATTTGGTATTCATGAGCTTACCCAAAAGTCAGATTTGGTCCACCGACTGCTCTGGATCAATCCAGAGTGGCTGCGAAGTCCTCTTGCCTCAGCAAACAAAGTTTTCAGCAGAGATGGAAACGTCTGCCTCCCATCGAGAGAGCAGGCTGAAAACTTCAAAGGAAGAGCTTCCTCTTCTGAGAGAGCCTTCGTATGCAACAGCTTTTGAAAGTGTAAACTTTTCTTTCTTGAAAAACTAGTGGCTTCCACGGAGGTTTATGGCAGTCTGGATTTCAGCTGTGCAAATGCTGTGGTAACAATACAAACCGGGTGCATAAAGAGCGTGGAAAAAAACCCTCAGAACGGCTTCAAACAGGCCACTACAAAATGACTGGAACCAGTTCAAAAAATCCTGGGCCTTGCTTGATGTAAAAAGGCTTCAACTTCCCAAATGAAACAGCCAATTAAATCATACTGTGAGCGGGGGCATCCAAGGCACCAATGCTCCCTGGAAAAAGACGTCCCGGTGAGCGCCACGGGGCGGCACCGGTCGGGTCACAGAACCTCCAACCCCGTGTCCAGGCCTCTGGCTCAGACCTGGTGTTTCATCATCCCTCTCACAACTAACTTGTCACAATTTAGAAAAATGAAGGCTGGAGGGGAAAAAAAATTAATTCCAGTACACCAACAGCACCAGTTCAAACATTTTACTAAATCAATTCACACCATTTCAAAATTGTAAATATAATTAAGGACAACAGGGTTTCTGTTTTCTTTTTTTCTTCCAGATTTATCATTAAGACAATAAACAAACACAAATTAGGTTTATAGCATCTGTTCTTTTAAAAAATGAAAGGAACGCCACTCGATGTATTGATAAAGCACCACAACACAGTTACAAAATAGGGTTGGCCTGTTTCTTTCACGAGTAAAAGACTACATAATCCTAAGAGCTTTCTGCTTCAATTCATACTTCATTAAAATAAAACTATAAAATCTCCTAGATTACACTAAGGTCAGACGATGCCTGGTATACAGTGCATTAACAGCAGTAATGCCAGCTATCAGTGCCAACATAAAACAGTTTAGAAAGTAAAACCAAAATGAACAAAAAAATAATCCCAAAACAAACAAACAAAACAAAAACCCAGCAGAAAAACCCCACCTTTATTCCCCCTAGATGAGCAAAATTTTAAAATAAGGGATGCTCTGCTTCACAATGAGTTAAGGATTTGGGGAGGACGATGGGTAGAAGAGGGGGCTGGGACTGCAGCTTTCTAGGCTTAGTTGGCATCTAGTTTGGCCATTTCCTGCACGTAAATCCCTATACTCTCGCTGTCGAAGAGCACGAAGTACACCGTCTTGATTGAAGAGGACATTGTCGACACAAAATAGCTGGAGATGGCTTTCAGGATCAGCTGAGCAGCTGTTTGCTTGGGGAAGCCGTTTCTAGAAGGATAGACACACACACACACACACACACAAAAAAAAAGAATAAAATCAAGACTTGCAGAACAAACTTGTGGTGGTATAACCTTGCAGGCAATGCCAGGGCTTGCAGTCTGAATTAGAAGCTACAAACATGTTTGTTTAGGCAAGACTTAAAATGTTCAAACAGAAGAAAAGCATTCCCAAGATATGAATGCAGAGTCCACGCTCGCTAACCGGTTGAATCTTACAATATCTGATGGCCCAATGATTCTCATTTAACAGACAAGCAAACCTGAGTGTTCAGGAAAGCATCACACACATTGGGGTTGCAGAGTCAAACCCGTCCCGAGAGCAAACTAACCACTACAGAACAATAAAAAGGGGCAGAGAACTTGATATGGAAAATGAAGCAAAAAAAAAAAGGCAGAGTACGAAATGGTTTTACCACTATTAATGGTTAATAATATAGCACAAAATTTTACAGAAAAAGGGACGCAGGCTGAAGGAAGGTGAGCCAAGTCTCTCGGGTCACAGTGCGCCCCGTTCAGATGGCGCCAGCCTAATGTGTCAGGGCTGAGGACAGGCTTAAGGGACTTGATGGCTTTTCTAAGCCAACCTCAGGAACGTTTCCAACATGTCTGACATCCTTTTTAATTACAGGCTTAAGTACAGTCCTAAGAAAAATACCATGAAAGACACCCGCTTGGAACCAGCTGGGGAGATCTGAAAGCCAGAGGCCTTTCTACTCCTCTAGCAAAGCGGAAACAAGCAGCTCCTGCCCCCTCCTTCTGGGGAAGCCACAGACAGACAGACAGACAGCACAAACCTTGCTGCTTTCTCAGGTGACAAAACTGTGTGCGACTGAATTCCAAAGCTCAGCGCCTCGTTTGGGAACCTTTCTTACAAGTCTGAAAATTTCATGTCTTCTTAAAACAGGTCAAAGCACAAGCTGAACACTCTGCGCAAAAGCGTGACCCGAACCATGAGCCTTCTAGGCCACAGCAAACTCCTGAAACTACCCGGTCACCACTTTGAACGTGGCATAAGTGAAGTGCTGCTGCCCACGAGGCCGCGGTTTCGCCCTGGCCGAAGCCTGAGCCCTCCCTGAGCTGCAGCCAAGGGCGCTGCAGGCATCAGCCTCAAGGGAACGGGACATGATCACTCTGCTCTGAGGACCCAAACAGAATTTGAAAGAGCCAGTTGAACATCACCTGGTTACTTGACTTGCACCTACAGATACGCCATGGTCAACGCTGCCTGTTATAAAGTGTCATTAATACTAATAGTTTAGAGGTTTCACAGATGGCTGAGTTTCTCAGGAGTTTCCTCAGCAATCTGAAGAAGCTGAGCTCAGTTCACCTCTGGCACTAACAGGTGCAACATCACTTCATGTTTGCTCGCTGCAGCACTGACAATAAAATGCTGTTGTGCGCTCCCTCTCATTACAGGCTACAAGACACAAAATGAGAAAGGCAATGGCCTGTGTCACAGCCTGCTTACTGCACCTTACCTGACCATAAAATGCACTCTGAGAGCAATTCCGTAGTAGTGCTGCCCGCAATGCGATATTATACACGCTGCCTGAAGGTAATGCTTGTGATATTTCAAAAATGATGGCATGAAATAGCTCATGCTGTTTCTTTCTTTTCTGATAATGCCCATTTTTCTCTTTACTGAAGAAGAAAAAAAAACCTCCAAAACTATGAAAAAGCCCTGTGAAAAAAACCCCCTTGTCCTTCTTGCAAAGCCAAATGAGCTGGTCAGGGAGACTCAGCTGTGTGACGAGTTAATCAACGGAGAGCACAGGTTTGACACAGGAGTTACTTCCTACTGTTGGCTTTCACAGAGGAGAAGACAGGACTCGGCATGCCTCCGCAGCTCAGCACTCAGGAGTTACTTAGAAATGCTGCATCCTGGCATATATTGAACAGATCTTTGAGGAATGAGTCGGAATTGTCACGCAGGCCAGCATCAAAACCGCTCCTGAACCACTCGCAGGGGACTCTGCAATAATACAGCTCCCCCATGGGTTGTGTCCCAGAAGGGTGGCCACAACAGGGCAAATGACAGAGGAGCAGCCTGGCCAAAGGGAGGCAGGCAAGCAGGGAAGCTGATTAAAACCATTTGTTGAGAACCACCTCCCAAAAGAAAGGAAAGAGACAGAGCAGAAAAAATCAGAAGAAAGGTGCCGGCCCATTGGGCACGTGTGGGCTGCAAGAAACAGGAGCCTCTCGTGTCGATCTACTGGACTGAGTTAAATTCTCGTGGAAAGGCAAACTGAGACTTTAACCAAGTCGATGTCAATTCAGATCAAAGCCAGAGCCTCAGACCGAAATCCCCACTCCGAGGATGATTTTAGGTTCCAATCCCGAGCTCTCCTTTCCCTGTTCTCCTGCTGGCCCTGCCAGGCTGAACTCCAGGCCACCTCTGCACTGCGCCCGACTTGTGCTTTCTGCCAGTTGGTTGGAGCTGAGCATCTGGCCCACTGAATGCTACGAGTTCGCTATTTTATTTCCCCCTGTGATTTATTTGAACTGCCCTCATGTAATCCCATTCCTCAACTATAAAAGAGAATGAAAATGTTTATGTGGGCTTATTGGGTGATGTCTGCTTGACAGATGTCTGTACCAGAACAGCTGCATACATGTGGCGTCTTTGGCATTTGCTGTCTTTAAAAGCTTGCCTTTTTTTTTTTCCCCCTAACACTTCTGACTTCATAAAAACAAGCAAAGAGTATTGTCAGGATCTATTCTGTTCTCTGCAAAATTAGTTTATGCTTGAATATCTCCAATTAAGAGGAAAAAAAGGGACAATACACAACCTCATATATTTCTCAAGGCCTGTTGATCCCTCTCCAACTTTTAAAAGCACCACTTCAACTGGCCTGAGTGAGAATGACACACATAAGCCAAGCTGAGAGCTCAGGATCTTGCCTGTCAGTAACCAGATTTCATAATGGGACCTGAATCTCATGATTCTTCAGGCTTTCGGCATCCTCCAACACCAACCGACTACTTCACCACAAGGGTTGGGAATGGTTCTTTGCTGGCAGCTCCCCAGAAAAGAACGGGCTCTGTGGAAAACACTTCACATCGTCTCACTTTTACACAACTTCTTCCTCAGTCCTGCTCCAGCCCGAGGGGGAACAGTTTCTCCCACAGAGCAATTCCAAACTGCTCTTCGTACTGACCAGCCTGTGAACCCGACGGCTAATTCAGCAAGTTAGGACAATCTCTCCACTCTATTTCTCTACAGTTCACAAAGTTTGCTCGTCCAAATTAATTTTATTTGGAGCTTCGTCTGATGCAAGTTGCTTAAATTCATTATCCTAGTGAAATTTCTATTTCTTTATTGTCATTCACCCCAAAGCTCCAACAGTGCTTCCTGCCCTGACCCACAGCACATGCAGGAATTAATCTCGTGTTGCAACACGGCACAATGGGAAGAATATTCTCGCTGTACATCAGCCAAATTCTTTCGTGGCAAATTCAAAAGGGACAGTTGTTCAGGGTTAAACGCACAACTGTGCCATTCAGCCTAGATTTGGCCCTTGATCGTCACACTGAGCCATCGGTGCGGGCCAAGTGTTCCAAACCTCTCTCCCCGATCCACCTCAGATTAAAAATGTCGTCAGTGTCTGGACTCTTAGGAACGTGATCTAACTCTCAAAGGCACTGAGCATCCTGTGCAAAGCCTTAACTTTAGGCTTCAGCTTTCAAAGACCTCGCCAAAGGCTTTTGAAGGCCTTCTTTCTTTTAAATTTTTTTAAATTTTTTTCCCTGAAAGAGTTCCATGATGTAAATTGCATGGAATTCCACTTACAGATTTGGGCTGAAAGCCTGGAGTGACTCTGCAAGTCCTGAGAATCAGGGCTCCTCAGGTTTGGTGCTTAAACGGGTACTACGTTGTCTGGCCATCCTAAGACATATATTGCAGCAAGTTTAATTATGCACTAAAACTACGTAAAATAAACACCTTTTCTCCATGTTCTCCTCCACACCCCCAATTTAAATTATCAAACTGACAGTCTGAAGTAATGTAATAGCATCCTAAAAAGTTCTTTTTATGCTCTTTAACCTATTTGCACGCTTTAAGATTGTGCAGTATGAGACCTGTCAATGCTGAACC